TTTTAAGGACTAATCTTGTGTGACAACTTTGAATGAGTCAGCTGTTTCACCACACAGGTGTAGAACTTTCCATGGCTCGACATTTATACTATATTGTAAAGGGTTTGACCAAGTTCGAGTCAATGGTGTGAATGAGAAAAATCTTTTGATATGTGTGAATGGGAGAAGATGTTCTACTAATTGGGTGATTATAATTATATGTTGAATTTTATTTTTATCATGTTAAACTGTTTTATCATTAGCTTATCATTGCTTTTGTTTTTGTTTGTCTATGTGTTTTCTCTTTTACGATGATTACCTTGATGGGTGTGAGCTTAGAGAGGGTCTATTTGCAGTTGTCTCAGTGTAGGTGTTGGGGGTGAAACAAAAGTATAATTAGCCTATTTTTCTTTTCAAGTGAAGATATTTCTTCTCTTAAAATCTCAAGTTTGTTGTAAGTTATCTTCTCTGTAGCTATTATTTTAGTGATTTTATATTACTAAAATGGGATGTTACAATAATAATAAAATATTTTAATAAATATATTATTATATTTTACATATTAACTTAAAAATAAATTGAAATTTAAATTACTTATTATTATTATATTATTTATTTTAATTATTTGTTATATTATAATTTAAAAATACATATAATACAATATTTATCCATAATAATTATGTGTCATATCATAATTATGCTTAATTTTACAAATTCGTCGGCAAAATTTTTAAGAAATATTATCTTTTAATTTATTAGTTTTTACCTCATTTTTCTTCTTACCGTTATATTTTTATGTCTTTTATTCCGTGAGAACAAAGCGACCTTAGCGATCCTTTTTTTCAGCAGATGAAAAACATGTATTTACTGTTTATGGAAAAAACATATAAAATAAGGTAAAATAGGCATTAAAAACAACAAAATTTCTTTGCTAACATGGAAGACATTTATGAAGAAAGTTGTGTATAATTTTATTTTTTGAATAAATAATGCAGACAAATTTTTTAAAACAATGAATAAAATAGAATTTTTTATTTGTTAAATATTGTAATAATTTTATTTAAATTTATTTTAACTAATCTATATTTCAAAAATTATTTTTACAATGAATTATTTTTAAAAATTTATTTTAAATATATAACTTTATCTAGATAACAATTTAAAATTATTTATTTATTTTTACTTCCACTCTCTTTCTTTTCATCTAAATAACTTTATATTTATTTTTCATTCTCCTCAAATGAACTTATTTCTACTATTTCGAATTTATCTTTTAATTAAAACATAAGCTAACATTTCTGAAGAAAAAAATACATGAATAGTGAATTATACAGAAACAAATAAAACGTGAATGCAACGAAATTGATGTAATACGTGATATCCCAAAATATATATAAAGACGTTATTGAGTTATAATAATAAAAAGCAGTTGGAAACATATAACTGAATATTGAGAATTACAATCATCCTTAAAATGCTATGAAGTTAAAACTTGAGGTACTAGGGTCTTCCAAAATCCCATAGGTTCTACATATTACCATTCTTCAAAATACATAAGTTAAAGTACAGAGATCCTAATGATACTAGGACTCAACATCCTCTTCCTCCAAGTCTTGCTTCAGGGGCACCTCCTCGACAACTGCTCCCATCTAAGTGGATGATCATCGCAAGAGAAAACATACACAAGCATAGCACAAACACAAACAAGCAAGGGTGAGCTAATTATATAAAAAGCATACGATATGACAATATGTGCATGCAAGAGTTAACTTCAATCAAGCAAGATAAACACGCATCCTAACATGTTGAATACTAGACTTGACTCGTCCGTACTTTAGAATGATAGTCGAGTGGTGGCTTATGAAACTTGGGTTCCCCCACCCCTACCACACTCACGAGGTTAGCTTGTTCCGGGCCTTGAGGCATACTGGAAGCCCCCAAGACTAAGACCTCCTGCTACTCCTCACCACATGGTTCAATCCTCTCTATGTGAGAAGAAAGACCATTGGAGTTTCAAGGTGACCCCCAAGACTGAGCTCCTACTCTCATTCTAAACAGTAAGAATCTCACCAAGAGATCCTACACAGATGAAACTTGGTTTACAACTTGGATCATCTTTCAACCACTTTATAACCATACACTTTTTGCTACAATCCACATACTTGCCTGAACATTACAATACAATACTATAGATGCAAAATAATGCTTCACCAACAATCAAAGAGCACACTAATCAAACGTAGCACAAGAGAAAATTTAGAGAACTAGACCCAACACTCATTGCACATCGCACCGCCCTCGCAAGGCGAGACTTGCGCTATTCGCATAGCGCATCCACCCAGCTCGCCTTGCGAATTAAGTCTGAATAAGTATCAGACTTTGGGTCTGTCGCATAGCGCACCCAGGTCGCTATGCGAGAGCCCAGACAAAGACCAACCCCCTTAAAACTCTCGCTATGCACCCCACTCGCCTTTCAAATTAAATGGGCAGTGGTTCCAGACCACCACCAGTCGCATAGCGACAGGATCCGCCAGGCGAATCCACAGACAGAGAGCAACACCCTCTGGTCATTCGCACAGCGCACCAGCTCGCATAGCGAATTATCCAAACAGTGAGCACCCTCTACAGGGTCTCGCTATGCGAGACAGCTCGCATAGCGACTCTGCATCATCTGCAGAACGCGAATTCTGCAGAATCACACACTCACACCCGTCCTTACCACTTATAGGCCTCTTGTCCAACTTTTAAGACTTCTAATTCATGTTATATACTTAGTTAGACTTGCCTAGTTGATTAAAAACGTTACTACTACAATTCTAAAGTGATTTAGACTCAATTTCTACTCTAGAACGCCAAAATCAACAACTTAGGGACCCAAATCCAATTCTACTACTTGTAACTTGTTTTTGACCATTTGAAAGACTCACACAAGTCACAAATGACTTACCCAAAGTATCTGAACAGACCAAATGAACTCCTAACCTCTAATTCTAAATTTCACCACCTCACTTCCTATAAAATTTACCTAAAACACTACCAATTCACTTAACCTTCCATAAAATAGCTATTATAGCAGAAAACCATCACCTAACATATCCAATTACAGTTGCACAATACATTCAAATCAGCTCACAAACAACATTCACCAGGTTCAACAGTAGTCATCCAAAGCATACATGATTTAACTTACACAAGTACTACATTTCAACTCAAACAACAACATCGTGTAGAATTTAATACACACATCTATCGAACTACCAATTCAAACAGAAGTCTAGCTTTCCTTACCTTGGTGGTTATAAGCACAGTACAATTCACAACAGTAACAAGGCCTCAATAGTGCCTTACATAGCCAGCACACAACAAGACCCTACAACCCACTAAAGTGGAGACAGAAGCAACGCTTAGAGCTAGAATAGGCAGAGAATCAAAAGGGGAAAACTACTGGCTACATGCAACTAACAAAGTTGTATGCCCTAGGTTCAAGAGAGATGGAGAAACAGAAAAGAGTGACTTACCCGCCCAAGACAGAAACTAATCGGATGGACGAAAAGCTCTCAACTCCGTGAACGAAAGAACACCACCTATTTGACAATGCAACGGTTGAAATTTATGTAAGGGTAGACAAAAGACAGAGCAAGAAGAAGAAGAACAGAGGTTAGAGAGAGAAAGAAAGGTTGGCTAATGAACTCGGAGTTAAAAAAGAAAGTCCCTTCTAAGGTCATGGTGTCCTTAGTTTTACGGGTCTGGCTGCCTCAACATTAGGCCCAATAGCCCTATATTTTTCAGACTTTTACATAATAAGTATTTTCTCTAACAATAATCTTTTAAATATATATATATATATATATATATATATATTTACTTGTATTAATGATATTATAATTATGTTTTAATCTTTGTTCTTTTTAATCTTCGTACTATAACTCCGGAGTATCTCCATACTCCAAGTAGATTTATAGTTTTGTTTTTTGAATATATGTTTTCCACTTTTGTAAACAAGTTATTTTTATAATAATATTATTTTCATACCAAATATAGGCAAAGGATCATAAAAGAATACGATTAAAATATTTAACTTAAAACTACAAATATAAATAAGAGAAAAAAAATCCTTACACATATAAAGAGAGAAAAATAAATTATTTTTGTAACCATAATGGCCATTAGCTGATACTTACCATCAATAATAGTTTGTTTTTTTTTTATTTCTTTACAGTTTTTGTTTTCTATTATTATAATAAATAATAATAAATGATATGTTTTTTCACTCATTATTTCCTTCCAATAAGAAAACTCATTTTTTATATTTTAGTATTTTTTATTTTTACAAGAGGGTTGGTTAAAAAAAGATGAATACCTAATTCTCTACAACAAAATATAAAGAAATGAAAAAAGAAAAGAAAAGTGATACGTTGGTAGGACTAAGGGGGGACCCACTTGGAAAGGAAGCCAACCCATGTGATATGGCATGGCATGATAAAAGAAGGAAAGGAGCTTACGTGTGATGAGATATGAATGTTAAAAAAACGTGAAATCGCAAACGCTCACTCAAAAGCTGAACGTCGACACCGTGTTTGTCAAAAAGACTGACTCAAAGTGCTAAAGTCTCTCTCATGCTTCCCACTTCTCAATAATTATGCTCCCTCTCCTTTTTCTCGATCATTCCTTTTTATCTATACATTCAAAATCCACGTTCCCTTTAATTTCACAAACATTCATCTTTTCGCTTTTCTAAACAAACAAGGTCTTAACGCGGACCATAAAACATTATTTTTTATATTATTTTAAAATACTATTTTATAACTATGTTTAAATAATATTATATCTATTATTATAATAGTATTTCTTATTTATTAAATTTATTATATTGGAAGAGAATTTATTGTGCTACTAGATCATTATATAAATCTCCTTTTCTATAATAGATAATTAAAAGATGCGATTAGGATTACGAAATATTTTAACCAAGGATTTAATCTAGGTGTAATATTGCATGTTTTTACCTGGATCGTCTCTATTTAAGAGCAACCAGCTCCACTTGTACTTCGCTCTATCAACATTAACTTGTTCAGTTCCTCTTGAAACTCTCTTACACTCTCATACATGGCTCGCTCTGTGCCTTTGGTCTCAACCATCTTTGTGCTTCTTCTGCTTCTGGTGGCCACCGGTAAGCCTTTCTCCACGCTCAACACTATCATTTTAGGGTTTTCTCTTAACATTTTTTTTTCTCCTTTTGATTATTGAGCAGAGATGGGGCCAACAATGGTGGCGGAGGCAAGGACATGTGAGTCTCAGAGCCACCGTTTCAAGGGACCATGCGTGAGTGACACCAACTGCGCTTCTGTTTGCCGAACTGAACGTTTCAGCGGAGGACATTGCCGTGGCTTCCGTCGCAGATGCTTCTGCACTAAACATTGTTAAAACTTTATGACTGTGCTCTGAAGGAAATTAATCTCCATAGAAGATGATTCATCTATCATCTTTCTACCAGTGTTGTTAATTAAGTGTCTTATGTTTGAGAATAAAGGTTACGTACCACTGATCTTTCTCTTTATCTTCTTCTGCAGTTCTTTCCATTAGACGAGTGCGATGAGTATAATGTAATATGTTTGTGATGTAATGATAAATTTTGTTTCTGTTCTCCCTTTTTTTCTTTTTATCGAGATAAGAATGATTAAAGATTGATTTAGGAGAAAAACATATATTAACATCTAATTTAAATCTAATTGAACTTATATATCACAACTCCTTAGAACGTTTTTAACATTAATTTTACGAGTCAGTAAGATGTTCTTCTTGCTGGACAACAGTTTATTGTACGATTAATGTGATCCATTTTTATAATACTGTGTTCAATATAATAAATATTTATATATTTTTGCTTTGATATAATAAAAAGAAGTAAATTACATTATTAAAATTTTACTGTTACAGTTAATGTGATTAAATTCATATTCTGTCTTTCATAATATTTAGTTAGTTTTAAAAGAATAATTAAAAAGTTTATATATGTTTTTTTAAAATAAATAATATAGTGCTATAAAAGACATAGAAAAGTGAAGTGCTCAAACTTATTGTCCTGTCTCGTATCAAAACAGGAGATGAAAATAGTATATTCAGCTTTAGAAAAAGAAAAATAAAGTTCTAGCTTTGGGATCCCATACTTACCGACAGTTCATGATATCTATCATTTTTACAATATTTACCTGTGTAGGAATTAGTAACTAAAAAAAAAAACTTATAAGTATTACAAAACATGAAGTAAATTAATATATTTATCAATATTAAATATGAAATATAATTTTTTGGAGATACAGGTTTCAAGAGGATCACTTGAGGATATACAAATTGCTAAATCTTAAAAAATTTACAATAATAGATTTATCGTCATAGATAATTTAAATAATTTCATTTTATAAATTTCTAAAAATAATAGTCAATTTTTTTAAGAAATAAACTTTAAATTTAATTTAATTATATAATATTATTTATAATGATATTTTTAATATATTTCTTTACATTTGTATATATATTCAGAAAGTAAAATTAGATATTAACCTAATAATGTAATAAGTTTAATGAACAACAATAAGATAAGTTTTAAATTTTTGAATGATTCTATTATTATTTTAAATTTTACATTTAATTTAATGTTATAAAATTGATTTATTTTATGATGAGATTTCATTCACTTTTATTTTATAAATTTATTTTATTATGATATATATAAATTTATTTTATCTATGATATATGTAAGAATTTTTACATCCTAAAACATAATATATTGTAAAATATATTTAAAAGGCTCAAAATTATTAGTTTAGTAGAAAAAAAAATAATTGGAGGAAGAAAAGAAATAATTAGAGGAAAAAAACAAGAAGAATAAACGTACAGAGATTCTTGACATAGATGTTTTGACACGTTACCGACAACCAAACCCTCTACTTCTGTTATTCCTTTGTCCATTGTTTCATCATCACATCATTTTCATGACTACCAACTCGCATGGATGAGAGGGATAGATTTGACATTTTTCATTTATTGAGTTTTAGTGACAAGCCAAGACCAGAAATTTTACCATTATACCACCTTTCCCAAAAAGAAAAACAGTTATTTAAAAGAAGACAAAAGTAAATAAATAATGCTGGCCCCATGCTATTAATGATTTTCTCTGAGTATAATAGTTGTATCTTCAAATCGATTGATGATAGAAAATCATAATTTAAATGAAATTTTAAATGAACTTGGAGAACATGGACAATACAAAAATTCTTAATGGATACACGAATAACATAAAAAGAAAACAACGAAAATTAGAACTTATGAATAACAATAATAAAAAAAAACATTAAAACTGTCAAAAACACTTTCCTGACCAAGCCGGATTTCTCACAACTCATAAATCTTATATATTTTTTTATAAATAATAACATGACACATTTTTACATTTATTTAATACATAGTATAAGAATAAAATATTATAAAAATATAATTTTTGTTTTTTATAAGACATAGTATAAAAATAAAATATTATAAAAATATAATTTTTTGTATTTTAAAAAAAACAAGAGTAAAAAATAGAAAAGAATAATATCAAATGTAAAAAATTTAAATCTGTAGAATAATTCTTTTATATTTTTTTGTGAGCAGTACTTTAACCCAACTCATTGCGACACGCGTAACAAACAGTCATCATTGCATTTAACGTCTAATGTAAAACCAAAATTATTTAGGCCAAGAGACATAGTTTTAAAGTAAACTAGTTTCAGGATGTCTTTTTGCTTTTATTAATATTTTGATTACGATATAAAGGCAGTTGCTCCCTCCACGAATGTTTCCTGTACCATTTTATACTAATTTTGTCCTTTTTTAAAATGAATGTCAATATCCC